ACGGTTTAAAAAGGCATGCCTCTCCTATACCCTTCGAACCCTATACCTCTTACTAAATTACCCTATAAGGCAGGCTTATAACCTAGCCGTATAAGATAACCTTACTAACTCGGGCTCCGACCTAGGAGCCCTAAGCTATATTAGGCCCTATATATAACTCTTCCGCCTCCTTAAAGGCCTAGTAGCTATTATAGGGCCTAACTATAGCTTAGAAAGAAGGAAAGCTAGCTAGGAGCCCCCGTAGGCTTTAGAGCCTAAGGCCTTTATTATAATAATAAAGGCCCTTAAGCCCCTAGCTAAGAAGTAGCACTAACGCCTCTTAGCTAACCTAGCTAGCCTAGAAGACTTCGGGCTATAGCCCTTAGTCTTCTATACTAACGGCTCTAAGGGGTGCCTTAAGGGGTCCCCTATAGAGACTAACGCCTACTCCTTTTACGAGATAGGCCTAGAAAATAGGCCTAGTAAAGCGTACTACGAGAACCTAGGGCCCTCTATTAAAGTAGCCGACGTAGAGCTATTCGCGATACTAAGGGTCTTAGAGGACCTAGCTAAGAGGCCTCGGCCTCTAAGGTCTAGCCCCCTTAACCCCCCTATAAAGGCTTATATCTTTATAGATAGCTAAGCTACTATATAAAAGGCTAAAGGCTACTCGGACCTAGCTATACGTATTATAAGGCTCTTAACGAACTTAGAGGCCTTTTATAATATACGGCTATACTAGTGCCCTAGCTACCTAGGGATCTTTAGTAACGAGCTAGCTAACTAGCTAGCTAAGAAAGGCCTAGGGGCCCCTATATAAGGGACCCCTATAGTCTCTATTAGCTACCTATAAAGAAAGGTCTAATAAGCTACTAAGGACTACTAGAAGGGCCTCTAGGCTACCGAGGTAGTTAAAGGCCCTAAGGATAAAGGCTTAGGTAAGTACTATATATCTATTCGAAAGACCCCCCGCCTAGCCTTTAGCCCGGAAAAGGACCTTATAAGAAGGCCTAGGCCGACCCTTTTAGCCTACTACTAACTTCTCCTTAGGGCCGGCTTCCTATTATCCTTCTTAAAGAGGGTTAATAAGGTAGGCCGAGACGACTACCGCTGCGGCTAAGGAAGGCATACGGCTAGGCACCTTATCCTAAGGTGCCCGAACTATAGGAGGGAAAGAAAGGTCCTATACTAGGCCTTAAAGGGATAGAAGGAGGCCCTTAGCCTACCTTTTCTCTATAGCACTAAGGAAGGAAGGGAAGCCCTTTTAACCTTCTTAGCTAAAATAAAGATAGGAACGGCTAAGTAGCTTAAAAAAGAGTAACCTAGGGGCCCTAGGGCCCTTAAGGGGGAAAAACACCGCGTAGGAAGAACTAAATTAACCTTTCCTTTATCTCTACCTTTATAGCTACCCTTTCCCTAATTAGTTATAAGCCCCTAGGCTCTATAGCTAGCTAGGGCTATTAATAGGGGCCTAGGCCCCTATTAGCCTCGCTATAGCCCTAGAGGCTATATACGAGTAATAATATATATAAAAAAAAAAGACCCCCCGCCTAGCCTTTAACTTAGAAAAGGACCTTATAAGAAGGCCTAGGCTAACCCTTTCGGCCTACTACTAACTTCTCCTTAGGGCTAGCTTCTTATTATCCTTTTTAAAGAAGGTTAATAAGGTAGGCCGAGATAACTACCGCTACGGCTAAGGAAGGCATATAGCTAGGCACCTTATCCTAAGGTGCCCGAACTATAGGAGGGAAAGAGAGGTCTTATACTAGGCCTTAAAGAGATAGAAGGAGGCCCTTAGCCTACCTTTTCTTTATAGCACTAAGGAAGGAAGGGAAGCCCTTTTAACCTTCTTAGTTAAAATAAAGATAGGAATAGCTAAGTAGCTTAAAAAAGAGTAACCTAGGGGCCCTAGGGCCCTTAGGGGGGAAAAACACTGTATAGGAGGAACTAGATTAACCTTTCCTTTATCTCTACCTTTATAGCTACCCTTTCCCTAATTAGTTATAAGCCCTTAGGCTCTATAGCTAGCTAGGGCTACTGATAGGGGCCTAGGCCCTTATTAGCCTCGCTATAGCCCTAGAGGCTATATATAAGTAATAATAAAAATAAAAAAAAAGTTAGCGAGATTATTAACCGCTATAAAAGTCTTTTAAGTAACTAAGAGCGACTTAAGCTTAACCTAGGCTAAGGTCTTAATAGCGTCGCTAAACTTACCTAAGTACTTCTCTAAGAACTTATATATATAGCGGGTATTATCTATAAAATAGGTAAAAGCTAATATAAGCGTCTTTATATTTTTAGCGACTATAGCTAAACTAAGGGTAAACTCGCTTAACGCGCCCTTACCCTTAGTAGCGGGGGCCTTCTAACTAGCGTAAATATAAGTTTCTAGAGTAGTATAATAAAGGCGCTCTTATACTAAACCCTTAATAAAGAAAGGGCTATCGACCTTAAACTATACTTAGTAAAGAGTACTAGCGGCCTCCTTACCTTTAAAGGTAATTTAAAATATAGATTAGTACCGAACTTAGATAGTACTATAGTAAGAAGGGGTTACTTACTTAATAATAAGACTAGTTAGAGTTAGCGTAAGCGATATATACTTTAGCCTTTATAGCTATTAAAGTTAGTAAAAATACTAAAGGTAAGATTAACCTAAGATATAGCTAGGATTAATATATATAAGACTAGTTTTAATAGCTAGCGAAAGACTTATAAGTAAGCTTATTAATAAGACGCTTAATATATATAAAATATAAAATAAAGCGCTTTAATCCCGCTACTATAGTAACTTTCTTATAAAGAGGGGGTTTTAAAGGAAGTAAGCCGCTACTACCTAAGTTAGCTTCTTAGTTAGATATTATAACGCGATAATAAGTAAACTAGATATAGTATTAAGGAGATCTAGAGTTATAGAAATAAGGTAGGCGAGGTAGTAGTTAGGCCTATAAAAGAGATAGATAATAAAAAGATAGGAGGAGGTATATATAGAACTAGGGGGGGGAGGGTAGGTATATATAAGCGTAAGCTAAGCGCGTATAATTAATAACTATAAGATAGAGGGTAAATATAGGCCGCCGCGCCCTTAATCGGGAAGTTATATAGCTAGATAGGAACTAATTTATAATTAATAGAGCTAGCTAACCGAATTTCGATTAGCCGGCCCTACCTAAGAGCGACCTATACTAGCGCCCGGCCTAGTAACCGTATATTACTTACCCTATTAATTAATAGACTAATAAGCTAACGCGACCGCGGCTACGCGGCTATAATATAGGAGCTAAGGTAAATAGAGGCGCCCGCGAGTTAGGCCCCTAAAGAGAGACTATTGCCTATAACCCTAGGCCTAGGCTAGCGAGCCTAGGCCGCGGCTGCTCGGGATAATAGCGGCTATAGCCTAAGAGGGCCCGCGCTAAGACGCGATTTCGCGGGAGGAGCCCGCGGTAGCCGGCGTAAATTTCCTATATACTATTACTACGACCTCGTTTAAGGCGGACCTATACTAAAAGAGGGGAGGGTTTTCCCCTAGGCACTTTAGTTTTTCCCTCTTATTTAATATTAAAGTTCTAGATACCTCTAGCTAGGTCCTTAGTATAATCTTAATAATAATAATAATAATAGATATAATAGGGTATAGTCTAAGTAATAATAAGTATATTATATTAATAATAAGTTAAAGGTTATAGACTATAGACTATAACTAAGTAATTAGAATTAAAGATAGAATTATAATAAATATCTATATTAAAAGCTAGAGAGCTATCTATTTAAAGGAGTAAAAGTAGGTAGCTATATATACCTATAGAGACTATCCTTAGATTATAGGCCTAGCTATAATCCCTAACGTTAGATTATATAAAGTATAGTAATCTCGTTAATCTTAGATTACTTAGATCTCTATAATCCCCTCGATCTTATACTTATTAAATAGTTATACCGACTATTTATCCGTTAAACTATATTACGTGCTTAACGCGGTCGACCGTTAGCGGCCTAGTAGCTGTAGTTATAATAGCTAGGCTAGGGTCGGTCTATTAGTCGCGTATTAGCTAACTAAGTAAAGAGAAATTTTCGCTAGTATTTATAAGTTAAGTAAACTACCTACTAATTAAGGATATTATTTAAACGGTTATACTTATACGTAAATATAATATATAGGCTATTTAAGGGAAGGTAAGGTCGGCTTAAATAGGTATACTAAGCTAAGGCTTTTTTAGCTATTTTTTTATATAATAGCTAGTAGCTTAAATAGTAAGATAACACTAAATTAATATATCGCGATATTAAAATACGGCTTTAATTGCTATTAGAATATATACTCTTTACTATAGGAAGGGTGCTAGAAGGGGGGTGTCCTATAAGCTAGGTAGCTAACGTTAAGCCTAGACCGTTCCTTTCGGCCTACTTTCGGAGTAGGGAGGCACGAGTGGGTATCACCCAAACACGCGCCCCCTTCCCCACCAATGCTTCCGGCGGTTCTCGAACAGCTGCCTCGCTCACGTGGAGCAAGCTCCCCAACAATTCCCTGGCTGTTGTGGTCACCAGCGCACCGCAACCTAAACCCACTGCAGAGCCATCTGTTCTCGGTCATCGCCCATTCAACCACCAGACTTGAAGATAGGAATGGCTTTCCCTCCTGCCACATCGACCATGTCCTCGACGTATTAAGACCGTCGTTTCCGTCTCCCACTCATGCCTCTGCTCCCGCCTGCCCATGTGTGTGCCGCACCCGCCCGTTTGTTGAGCCTCGATCCTCGGCCTCCGATGCATCATCGTCGACTTCCGGCAACTCTGTCTCACCCCGCCCGGGCCCATCGACTGCAAACACTCTTCAGTGCATCGGCTACGCATAACCAGTTGCCACTCCTTGAGACTCCCAGGCCCCTGCGAGCTGCTCGCTTGACGAAGTCGACAGACAAGCCTAGGGGGGACAACGCTTCGAGAGAGGCAGCGCAAGAGATTTTTGCTCGTCTGAGCCGACAATTACCACCGCCGCCAACATTACCATCAGAAATAGCGAGATGAAGGACCCCTTCTTCATTGCCCCCATTCCCTGGGTCGTCCAACGGGCACAGCCTTTGTGCGACCGTCTCCATCTGCCCACACTGCCTCTGCACATACACGAAATCGTCGCAGCCGCGCTTCTCTACTCGGTCGTCTTCTACCCGCTCTCGCCCCTCCTGTCGAACCTGCTGGTGCCCGGGCACTATGCCAAGCTGCCGCGCAAGAAGCGCCTGAATTGGGACGCCCATGTCGTGTCCATGATCCAGAGCACCCTCATCAATGCGCTGGCTCTCTGGATCATGCTTGTTGACGATGAGCGCCGCAACATGGACCAAGAGGAGCGAGTCTGGGGTTACACAGGTGCCGCTGGCATGATACAGGCACTGGCTGCCGGCTACTTTGTTTGGGATTTAATCGTCACCAGCCGCAACCTAGATGTCTTCGGTCTCGGCACTTTGGCCCATGCCATTGCCGCCTTGCTCGTCTATTGCCTTGGCTTCGTAGGAACCCCATTCTTATCCTCCCCTGTCAGCCCCTGCTCCTTGACACACTTCCCCTTGCGTCTGACTGTTGCTCGAAGCGCGCAAACACCGTCCCACTGACTGTGTGACAGCGACCATTTGTTAACTATTACGGCTGCATCTTTATCCTCTGGGAACTTTCAACCCCGTTCTTGAATCTTCACTGGTTCATGGACAAGCTTGACATGACCGGCTCTCGCGCGCAGCTCTACAATGGATTCCTGCTCCTCTTCAGCTTCTTCTCCTGCCGTCTCGTCTACGGAACCTATCAGTCTGTACGTGTCTTTCGCGACATATGGGCGGCCGTCAACTGCCACCCTAGCACTGGGCCGCAGGACTCGGCTGTCATGACGTTCGCGACGGACAAGTCCACTGTCCCACTTTGGCTCGCCACTCTGTACTTGGCCAGCAACCTGACCCTCAACAGCCTCAACTTCTATTGGTTCATCATGATGATAAGAGCAGTCCGCAAGCGTTTCGAGCCGGGACCGGAAGAACCAAAGGGACGGCTGATTGAGGTCAATGTGGAGATACATTCTGTCGCTTCCGGCGTGACCGATCGTCGTATTCCGCAGAGACGCAAGGTATGATGTGAGCCAAGGCCAAGCCTGTTGCCCGGGAAGGGCACCAATTCTTGATGCACTGTGCGAAGTGAATTATTTACCTGGTAAATGCTGCTTGTTTGGCCATGGCCGACTCGCCGGGCGTGGCACCTCAGCGGTGGCTATTTCACGAGACGACACATACTCAATCTTAGAAGGATATAGACTTTCCTTGCGTCACACATGGAGAACTGGTTACTTGGGCTCGGGGATATGCGGGTTTTCGCGCTGTTTGCGCAGTATATCGTGTAGGCGACTGGTGTCGTTATATGTTAGTGCCAGGAATCCAGCAACTCGCGCCTTGCTGCTTGCTTCTCTTGCACATCCAGCTGCATAACACTGGAAATCCCTGTCGTGCCACTAAACACGACATCCGGAGGTAGCTCGAGAAGCCACTGTCAGCAGTGCTTAGGCCGGTCTCCGGGGGTCCTGCAGTCGTATATGACGCTCTGAAACAACAAACGCGTCCGTCCGCGTGCTATGGAGGGGGCCGGCGCAAAATAAGAGGTAAAATCGCAGGGAATAGACACCACTAGGTCGAGCCAGTTGAATATTTACATGAGTGGCGTTCGTAAAGCCGCGTTCGCTCTCCTGGCCCACAAGCTCCCTCTCGCCCTTTTAACTACAGCTGCGTCACTCTCAACCTGAAAGGTTCGCGTCCGCCGGTCTTTTCGCAATAACAAGTCAGAATCCGAAGGGGTTATCTGGGGCTGCAAAAGACATTAGCGATGGAAAAGCAAGAAACCGCACACAACGGAGTCGCAACACCCACTCGCTTGCGCCAGGTTCGCCCTCCGCCCAGTCGGCTGGGGTGTCAGTCTTTTCGTTTCCGCATTTACGCCAAATCGAACCGGAGGCGGGGGGCCTGTCTTTTGCGGTTGCAACGGCTGGGCAAAGCCTCCGACCATGGCCCCCGTATGCTGTGAATGTAGACTTGTCGCCCCTGTCCGCTCGGGCTCCAGCGCTGGTGGAAGATAGCTATTGACACCACCGGTGCTGCCAGAGCCCTGCCCGAATGATGACATTCTGGTTGTGAAGGTAGGCCGGAACCCAGCCCCAGTTTGCTGGGCTGGAATGGGCGAGAATTGAGATGGTCGCCCGGGGTCTGCGAAGGGGCTCGCACCTGGCATGCCCGTCATCATGGGCTGCATGAACTGGGGCTGGCCAGGGGCTGTCGTCGGGTAAGGAGCCATGCCCTGAGGCTGAAGCCCGGCGTAACCGGTCATTGCAGGCTGAAGCTGCTGCATCGCAGCATACTGCTGCTGAAGCCTGTATTGACTGAGGTCATGAAGGCTCTGGCCCGGTGTTGCCACCTGAGACTGCACGGCGCCCGTCGCCTGTAAACCCATCGGGGGAGGGCCGAATATGGCCTGCTGCGCCGATTGAGGGGCGGACAACGGCCGCTGCGGGGGTGGGGGGGCCAGCGAGCCCTGGCTGGATGACATCGAAGGGGGCGTCGGCCGCTGCCGGGCCAGGGTTTTGGGAGAAGACTGTACTTGGCCGGGATTGGGAACGGTAGAAAAGAAAGACGGGCTAGCACCCGTGGGCTGCTGAGTCTGCTGCGGTTGGGCACTGCCCAGGCTCGAGCTCGTAGCCGCTGTCTGTTGTGACTCCATCGTGGTCGGTTGGAGGGGCTCGCTCAGCAGTGACAGCTCCTTCATGGAGCTCGTGAGCGCCTGAGACGAAGCCGGATCCGGCCCTGACGATGATGGGGCGAGTTTGGCCTCTCTGGACGCCTGCTGTTGCGCACTGGGCTGCGGCTTTACATCCCAAGCGTCGTCGTCGAATCCGCCGGCGGCCGGGGCTCCGGATGACTTGGTGGCTGGGCTGGCCCCGTCTGTGCCCGATTCGGGGCCTGGCGCATTGGTCTTTGAGAAAGCGGTAGCATCGACTACATCGCTTGTCTGCACAGCCGGGGCGGGTCTGCTTTTCCGCGTGTTATTTCGAAGCGTGCCGCCAGGTCCAGAGAAAAGGCCGCCGGTAGCGTTGTCACCATCCGCCCCGGGGCCGCTTCGGTCGCGGCCAAATTTGATATCCAACGCTCGCATGACCTTGATGATGTCGCCTTCGCGTAAGCCTAGGGTGCGCAAAACGGTAGCGTTCACGTCCGGCAAGACGCTCTCGTCCATGGAGTCTCTGATAAAGGCTTGCGCGTAGCGCTCGCAAAGACCGACGGCAACGTCGCAGGAGAGAAAGAATTGAAACCAGTCATACTCTGGCTTTTCACTCTTCCCCACCGACGCGCCGACTTCGGTGCGCCGCTTGTCCGTAGATTTGCCTCGTTTCACGTCCGCCAGGGGCTTGTCGTCGTCCAAGGATATGCCGGTGATGTTCTCAACGCATTCGAGGTCACCACGGGACATCTTCGCAATGGGAACGGCAATCTTGACACCGTTCATCTTGTGTAAGTGGATTTTGCCGTCTCTCAGACCCAGAAACTGCGCATCGACACTGAAGGACCCTGACCGATCTGTCCACGTTCGCACCTTGGACGAGTCGGGCTCTGGATTGAACATTGTTCAGCCTGGTAAGCGACGGCGCATAATGAAGGATCAGGATGCGCCAAAGTGACTTACTCGACTTGGCCTTGACATGGCTGTCGCGTCGGCCATTCTCGCGTCGACTACGCGGCTATTCGCCATTATTATCAAGTTCTTCGTTGGAAGGGGAATCATCCCTGGCCTCACCTGCTGCGGCTGCTTGCCCTCCTTGATGGCCTCCTTGGTGAGCCTGATTTCCTCCAGCCGGTTCTGTTCCACAGTGGACTTGGCCGAGTCCATCGGGGAGCTATTCGTTGCACCAGGCGGCGTGACAGTCCCCGTCACTTCGATATAACTGCTCGGAACAACTCCTTCCTTGCCATTCTTGATGCGACGGACCTGCCACCACTCGTCGCTCTTGGACTCGTCGAGGACCACGACTTCGTCACCTGCTGCTACCGTCACTTCGTCGTCGCCTTGTGCCATGAAGTCGTACAGAATCTGGCCCTTGCGTCGGGTGCGCTGCGAGCCGGCCATGATGACTTCCCGCAGACCTTCGGCCCGGACAGCGCCAGCCAGCTCCCCCAAGGCACCCACAACTTCCTCAGCTGTATCTTTGGCACCCGCGTGAAAGTCGATGCTCTTACTCGGCCGAACCAACTCCATAAAGACGTGCTTGCCCTCGCGGGAGTAATGCGTCATCTTGTCGGCCGTCCATTCCTGGGCTGGCTCGTCCTGAGCCCGTTCGGGGGCGATCAGTATGATTCCTGTCTTGAGATTAACGCCCAGTGTCGTGGGCATCTTCTTTCTTTTCCCCATGACCGATACCATTTCGTTGATGTTGTACATGTGGAAGCCTCCCGGGGTTCGATACGGCTCGTCGGGTCGGGAGTCATGGCTCGCGGGCGCTTGGGCGGGCGCACCATCGTACGGCCGCTCATCGGGGATGGTTCGAGAGCGAGGCCGGGAAGGCAGCGCTGGGGACTGCAGGGCCTCATCATCGTCTTCGTCTACATCTGGCGGCTGCGACCTTTCGCGCTGTGTGGGCTGTCGCGCAGGCTGAGCAGGCGGGGATGGTGTCGTGAGTCGGGGAGCTGCCCGACCCTGCATAACACCCGCCAGTGCGGCCGCGGGTCCCAAGGTGGGCGGGGGGCCATGGCCTGCTTCTAATGTGCTCTCTACTGAGTCCGAGGCCACAGACTGAGGCCGCATCGGCAGAGCCGGGGAGGCCGCGCTCGCTGGCAAATCGACGTCTGCGTCAGTCGTCTTCACGTCGATGTAGTTTGACGGCACAAATCCATATTCATCGTCGAGGCCGGCAAGGATCCAGTCTGGGTCTGAGGCGTCAAACACCTCGAGGATGGCATCCTCGGGGAAAGACAATTCCTCGTCGGTCTGGCGCGTATACTCGTAAATGGCATGGGCATGGCTGAGCGTCGGAGCCTAGGGGGGATGAGGCAATACGACGCAAATGCATTAGCACAGTGGATGGATGGCTCGCGCACCAAAGGATGAAGCGGAGATGAATGAGACAGGGAAAGGTTGGCCACTTACGGGCTCGACGTAATTGTTGGGCACGAGACCTTCGGGTTCGTCGTCTTCGTCGGTGCCGGCTTTTCTCTTGGCTTTCCACCAGCCATCGTCGTTGTTCTTGTCAAGGACGTACAGCAGATCTCCCTCGGCGATGGCCAGCTCGCCCTCGGCCTGAGGGGCGTAGTCGTAGATAGCCTGGTATACGCCCAGGAACCCCATGTCGACGACCACGACGACGAGTGCTCACGGGCGCGTGCGGTCTTCCGGGTTAAAGGCGGGGCTGGTCGGGCGCTCTCTGCGTTCTGCGCCGAGACTCGTGGGCTTTGCGGCTGGCCGGCCACTTGCGGTGTGGCACGGGCGACCCGTCCAGAAGGGATATTCGCGATGCGGATCAGCGCAGACTAGGAGTAGGGCGCACCAGAGCAGGTAGACCAGGGGTGGTACACGAGAAAGGCAGGGCTAACGGAGAGGTGATGGTGGTGGTTGGAAACGGATGCTAATGACGATGGCATATGATACTGCTGCTGCACAGTACGGATGCTGGTGACCTCCATGCCTTAGCACTGGCATACGCCTAGTGTACCTAGGTAAGTGCTGCTGGGGGTCTAGCCCCCTTTTTACTCGCAAAAGAAAGGCCCCAGATACTCTAGAGCTACCGTTGCACCAAGCAAAATAGGTATGCGCACCTGATTTTCATGTGCACGGTGAATGTACTCTATGCGCCGTTCTGACAGGTACTAACTAGCAGTTGCGGGCTATCTAGGTGGGTACCTAGGTAAGCACCTAGAAAGTGCTGTATAATACCATAACTGTGTCTCTCATAAGCTAGTTATGTCTATCTATCTATACTGTATGCTTCTAATGAAATCATCTTCTACCAATTTATTAAAAAATGAAAAGAACAACATACATTTATATCTAAAAAAGAGACTTATAGTTTGAGAGCCCCCTTTAAGCGCCTTCTTGTAGCTTTCCCCCCCAAGAACCACACACACTTGTGTATCCCCCTTTAGTATATATATCGGTAAAATAAGTTACTCCGAGTCTAAACTAGATGGAAGAGACGCCCAGTAATGCCATTTTCTGGTTATATGACATTTGACTGTTCAACGGCCAAGATCCAATTCTATGCTTGGAGCCCCAAGCTCACCTTTCAACATCGATCTATCGGACGGGTGTTCTCCACAGTCAATAACCGCGATTCTGCCCCTGCTCGTGCTTTGGTACGATATATTTGGGAAATCTAACCAGTCGTTGCCTCCGGGGTAGTCGAGCCACGTCCAAGTCATCCAACTGCCATGCTGTCAGCCAACCCGATATGGCGTGCCTATCGACTCTCTGGTCCCCTCACAGCCGATGCGCACCGCTCGCCGATGGGCTACATGTCGTCTTCTTCCCCTGGCGCCTCGCTCGAATCAACCGGCCAATCATCGGCCTGCGCCAGATTCCGCAAGCTGCCGGTCCTATGATCTCGGGTGAGGATTCCTGGAAACATTCTCGGATCGCTTCCTGACAGGTGCAAGTCGGCCATAGCGCCCGGCAATCGTTCCGACTCCCGCGTCGCCCTCGCTTGCATGCCATCCGCCGCGGAATTGGCCTTGGTCATGGCTTCGCTCCTCTCTTGAGTTGCCAGCACCGAATCCCCAAGAGTTGGAACCGACCTCGTGGGTTCTGCTGGCTTTCCATCAACGAGAATCCCTTCGCCGAGTGACTCAATTTTCGCCTCGTATGTCACGTAGCGTTTGAGACTATTTTATCTTCATGTCAGCGGCGGCGAGCGGGTCCCCAGCCCGTGTCCGTGGCAGGAAGTGGGCTGATGATGCACGGTAGACTAACACGTCTCTCTCCTGCAAAAGAGTATGGTATCGAAATTCTTCCCTTCTGTCCGGCACGTTTGTCTTGACCATTGTATTCCCCTCCTGGCCGGGCTTTTCGAAATCTGGCCCCAGCCACTGTCTCTTAATGGAAGCTTCGTAGCCGCTTTGTTTGACCGAGTTCTTGGCCAATTCGCACATGTCCACGGGGCTGAGCTTGTATATCTGCGCAGCAACGGCATATTCCTCAATCAAGGGTTCCTTGGTAAAGGCAAACTGCAGCGGGTCGTCGGTCGACAGTGACACGTTCAGGCCTCTCCGAAAATATTGGTGGAAAGGATTGCGCTCGTACGCCAGGAACAGGGCGTTGTTGCTCAGCGGCGACATGGCAATTCCAATTTGTTCCAAGTAAAAGACGTACTGCAAAAGAGGCACCTTTCGGAGCAAGAGCCCGTGGCTAATGCTGTGGCAGCTGAGCACAGCAACTGCCAAGTGCTCGCTGTCGCCGGCTTCACCGCAATGGGGACGCAGCACAAACGTGTTGAAGCCACGCTTCTTGCGCCAGTAGTTGAGCGAAGTCGTGTTGGAGAACAGGTAATAGATCCAGTAGCTGTAGGGTGGATTCTGCTTCGTGTCCCACGCTCTTGGCACCGGAAACTTCTTGAACAGCCTCCTTTCTATCTTGCTTTCATCGTCGACGCTGTCGAATCCAATCACCCGCTGGAGGAAGATATGAAGCTTCGGATGACTCGAAGGGTCCTTGGTCACCTCAAACAGCGGCTGAAATAGGTTTCTCACGATTTGCTCAAACGTCTCCATCAAGCCGCTCGCTTTGTAAACGTCGTACAGTCGAGGAATCTGGACGAGCCAGCGCACATTGTGCGAAAACAAACCGTTGTCCACGACCCAGGCAGCGAGACTGTCCCATTCGTCTATCGACTTGCCATAGACGGAAATGCGCCACTCTACCATCTGGTACTTGCTCGATTCCAAGTCGGAGATGACTTCCTTGGTGATTTCAGCCAGGTACCGCCCGTGGATAAAGTTGTCCGTTTTAAGGAATATCGTCCTCAAGCGAGACTCGCCAATAGGATTATACTTGAGATTGAACTTGTCGAACCGGTGGAACGAGTCCGTGTGCGCCTGTCACGGTGAGCGGTCAGCCCAATCACGCCGTGCCTCGCACATAGGGTTATGTGGTCGAGAGGCGGAGGAAGGGGCCTGGGGAGGGCTCATACATGCATATCAAGTGTGTCGATGCTCAGGTCGTAAGCCGTCAGGTTAATGCTGGCAAACACCTCGGCCAAGGTCAGGTGCTTGCCGTCACGGAACAAGACGACTTCGTTGGAATGCTTCTTCATCTTGCTTTTGATGAAGCGCAAAAGGTGCTTTTGGTTCATGCAAGCTGAGTGGTGAACATGCGTGTCTACTTTGCGGACATTGTAGAAGTCTCGATGCGGCACCTTCTTGCTGTCTGCAGTCTCCTGATACTCGTTGAGCAGCATGTAGAGATTGAACTTGGCTTCCAGATACTGCAGGCGCCGAAATGCAAAACTCTTGCTAGGACCATCGGATGATATCGTGAGGATGCTGTCTAGATCCATGTAAAATTCTCGAATGGTTGGCACCTGAACGGCTGGTGTATCCGCAGATTCGTTCTCAAAAACCTGATATACGCCACTGTCGTCGAGCCTAAAGGTCACGTCGTCCTCGACGGGCAAGGGCAGGACGTCCTCCATGTTGAAGTCCTCGCCCACATCCTGGCCAGGCTTACGCTTGCGCGTCGGCCGTTTGGCCCCAGGGCTGACCGGAGGGTGCTGGTTTGCATCATGGTTGGCCTGACGTTCGGCACAGTGGAAGTCTTGCGACTTTTCTGGAGCCGCCGTGGGGCCGGAGTTATTCTGGGTCCACGCCGGCTCTGGCGGAGGAGGATATATAGTCCATTCGGGGGTGTCGCGAGGGTTGTCTTCTGGGCGCTGCAACGAGAGAGCCATATACTTGCGTCTGACATCCAGTACCTTTTGAATGTTCTTGGATATGGCGCTGAGCTCGGCCGTGATCTGGGGCTCTGTGTCGAAGAGGCTGCTGTTGGGAAGCCCAGCGGTAGATTCAACCGCAAGTCTAGCATCAAAAATGCCGGTCTGGCTGCCGCGTGCGCTGATCGTGGCGGTCTGGCCCATGGCCAGCGGTCCATGTGGCTCGTGTGCCCTCGAAGATGGCTCGGCGCTGTCGGGCTTGCCTTACCGGGGTTTTCAGCACTTTCACATCTCGCGGCACCCTTGGGAGTAATGGGGCTTACCGTCGACATGGTCGAGAATGAGAGAGTCGGCTCCGAATTCGGTGGCAGGACGAGATCCGGAGACCATGACAGGACTTCCGTACGGGGTCGACTGAGGCAGTGGTGCGCCGCCGGCACTGCCCCCGCGGCCGTCGATCTTGCTGCGCTGGTAGAAGAGCTTGGCGTCCGTCTGGGTCATCTGGCGCTCAGCGACGGGATCGTAAAAGGTCGTGCGCTTTGGGACGTCTCGCGGCAGCATGCCATCCTGGAAAGCGTCGTGTTCTGCAGAGGACCCGCTTGCCTGCTCCTCAATGTGGTCGGGTTCGGCAAAGGAACCGTGCGCGAGGTAGTCGTCCTGGTCTGACTCTCCAGACCATGTTGGGGCATCATGGCTTTGGCCGGGAACATGGTTATCTGGTTGACAGCGTCAGGTCAGTCATGGGCGGCAGGTCTCACGCAGTTGTTTGCGTCTGCCACAGCCGTTCGCTCGAACATATATAGCAGCGCAGACCAGGAGGCTTTGGTGCTTACCGGTCATGGTGATCGATGAGCTCAGGGGAGCTGGTGATGTTGAAGCAGAGCGCAAGGGGGTACGACCAAGGCCGAAGCTGAGCGGTAGGTATCGAGCTGCAGCCGAAGAAGAAGTTCAATCCAAAAGCAGGCGCGGTGCCATGAAGCTTTCTGATATTTCCAAAGCCCAGGAGTCCCAATGACACACGGCGACCCCGCAAAGACGGGCGGATGACCGTTGTTCAGTCCATGGTCACCCCACCAGAAAAAAACAAAGGCCGAGGGCGGTGAAGCCCGGATCGGGCCGGTCGCGAGGTTTCTGCCCCTTTGACCGTGGCAGACACGGGCGTCAATCTGCCCTTCTTCCTGGCAGCATCGGGTCTGTCCCGTGGCTTGGAATGCACGCATGCACAGCAGACATACAATGACAACTTGCAAGACTTTTCCTCGTATATCCCCTAATAATTTCTTTCAATACTTCTTCCTGTCGGCGGCCTTCTCGTTGTAGTCATCAGCGCCACGGACAGCCGTTGCACTCGTCTGCGGATGGCTCGTCCTCGAGCCCACCGAGTAGAAAGCTCCTGAACCGAAGACGATCAATGCGCCGATGAGCGTCCCCTGAGCCAGCGAGTTCCCGAAGAGCCATATGCTGAGGAGCAGGCTGACAAGCTTACGAATATTAAGAACAATGGTGACCGTAAGCGCCGACGAGGCAGCAGCGAGCAGGTTTACGCCGCGGATGCAGGCGTACTGGGTCAACACATTCGTGGCTAGATACAAGAGCTGGCTTGGCATGCGCACAGGCCCGGTGGCCGTCGTGAACGGCACCGGAAGCACTAGGGGTTCACTCTTGATCACTCGACTCAAGGTGCGGGCCATGGATGGCGCAAAGGGCAGGAAAAGGGGCAGGGAGAGAACATGCGAGTAGAAGAGGTTTTCCTTCCACTGAGGGCCGTACTGCTGGTATGTCGCCTCCGTATAGAGCCCCATGATGGCTGAAAGCAGCTGTGCCACGAATAATATCAAAAGGCCAGTGTTTGAGTCTGGGAGCGTGGATTCTTTCTCCGAGCCAGCCTAAATGGAGACGGAGGTGGCAGGTCAACGTAAGACAAGAGTTCATGGAAAACAATGGACATGGTGACCAATAGCGACTCACCTTCTCTTTCGCATCTGACCAGGCAGCCAGCACAACGCCGACGCTGAGCAAGATAACGGCCAATGCCTGCACACGAGAATATCGTTTGCCGTACAAGTAGCCCGCCACCATTGTCGTGATGCTCCCACCTGACCGCAGGATAATGTGAACGGGCACCGATATGTTGTAGCTGAAAGCGTGGTTGTTGAGGACATTGATGCCGAAGAAGAGTACAATGTTGACCATCCAGCGCCTCAATGGGACTTTGGCCGGGGCAACAAAAAAGGGCGGCCGGGTCTTGTCAAACTGGGCCACGTAGCCCGTGACGGCCACAAAGAGGAATTGCACAAACGTCAAGAGCGTTCCTAGCGCCCCGAGTAAGTACGTAAACGCACTGGAAAACGCAACATCCACGTACCACTGGCGGGCTCGAAGCTGTGGATTGCTCGTATCAGCGGAGCGCGGCGCAGCTGTAACGACAGGCACTGCTTACTTGATGATGGCCTCGAGGGCATAGACCTAGCAGCTCGGCGTCAGCTCTAATGACGATGGCGTGTGCAGCAGTGCAATTCGTACATTGGAACAACAGCCGCCGAAGATGAGGCCCAGCATCACTGCTGTCAGGAGCAACGATGGACTGGCCTCTTGTGCCATGCGTCGAGCGCCGGCCAACGGAGTGGCACCGGGGCGACCATTCCGGCTGATAGAGGGCGCATCCACATCGCGGGCCGAATTTGCGCCCATTGAATTTGCTGGGTGCGTCTGTCGCTCAAGGGAGTGAGATTCGAGGTTGCATGGGTAACTCTTGAGGTGCAAAGTTCAATGAGCCAGGGAGGCTGCCAGCAATAAACAGGTCGTTATGACTGCCGAGATGATCAGCCGCTAAATAAGGTGGCGCTGACTAAAAATCAGAAGCAGGTACTAAAATAAAGCTTTAATAAATTAAAGCAGACGAATAATGCCTAGTAGCTCTTGTTGAATTCCGAACTACGGTTATTCTATCATGATAGAAACTTGTATACCTAAGGTCGAAGGTCAAACAATACCGCGGATAGGTATAAGGGACAGTAAGAACTTTTGTAGAGGGGAAAAACTCATCGGCTTGTGAGTCGTCTGGCGACGCCGCCTCGTGGGGGTAAGACGCGTCTGCTCCCGAGACAGACAGATGACTGACTCCACGGTTCCGGTCTGCCGTAGTCGTCACCTGTAAACAAGACGCCTCGCGCAGGAGCTTACGGGGAATACATTCGATTTTATGTTTTCTTGGCAAGGAGTGTGTGCATGCATTAGCTTCTTCCGCAGTTTATTTCGCCCACACCCCCCGAGCTCTCTTCGACGACGCCCGGAACAGGCGATGCTTCATACATCATCTTCCCAGACGACATACTTGATTCCGCGTGGACAAAATTGCAGTAAGCCTACTGCCATCTATCCCTTCTTTGACCAGACATCGCAAATTAGACGCGTCTCCCACGCGCCCAGTAGCACGGGCGACCGTAGCCACAATCGTTACCATTCCAGTCGACCATCACTTGTCGACCATGACCTGGAGCCAGAGGTAGTTTAAAGAGGCCGACTCGTCGCCAGGCACAATAGCGAACAGCGCGGGACCGGCGAACACAACTCATGACGGATGTCTAGGTTGGCAGTTGCACGCCCCCAAACCACGCCCGCTCGCCTGCCGCCGCCAGAGCGCGACAGCCAGCTTGCATGCAGCCTGACCACCCAAACACGCCGTTGTCTCGTCAATGGCATGAGATTTTACTTCGTTCACAATGCCGAGAAGACAAAGAGCTATTGCGCGCGGTTAGTGCCTTGTTGAACCTGTCTTGGAGTATGCCGAGCTGGGCGACCTACATTGTTCGTCGCGGCAATGGCGATGCTGTCCTCGAACGGATGCCAACTCATGTGCAGTATCTTCTTGTTAAAGTCGATTTGGTCCGCATCCGTCTCCTTGCGCATCCTTTGCGCCCCTCCAGCCGGGCTGCCGGCTCGTGAACCATTCTTCTTCCCCCCGTTTGTTGTCGGGCTCGTTGACGCGTTGATGGGAGTGGGAACTCCCACCTTTTTGGCCTTGAAAGCCGACTTGTCTGCTTGGAGAACAACCTCGACTTCCTTTTCAGGGTCTGAAGGATAGATCATGAAGTTGTTGTTGTAGCTGCCCGTCATAACATTCTTCGCATCGCCAGAGAAAACAACTTCGAACTTGTCGAAGATGCTATCGTTTTCGTACGTGTCACACAGCCTTGGCCGTAAATGTTCGTGGATGGGTATTGTCTTGACGGGCTGCCGCTCCATGTTGATGTCCCATATCTTGACGGTAAGATAGTCGCGAGACAGAATATACCGCCCGTCGTAGGAGAAGCGCACGTCGGAAATGGACGAAATGATTTCCGAGAAGAAGGACCGCGAAGACGGATCTTCTTCTTGCTCAAAGACTGAACGAATGGTCAGCGGGAAGTGGTTCCAACACACAAGGCAGCAGATGCAAGGTCCGCGGAAAAGGAGGAGAAGCGGCGTGTGGAGGGAGCGGTTGGGAAGGGCAGGGTCCATTACGTTTGGCGTGTTGATCGCACAGCGCACTCTCGCGCATGTCGGCAAGCTTGATTGTGCCCTTGGAGCTGGCGTACATGAACCAGTTGCAGCTGAGCGGGTGGAACTCGGCGGCGGTGATGACCTCGGTGAGTTCCTCCATGTTGGCGGGCTTGATGTCGACGATGTTGAAACTCTGGTCTTGAATGTTGAGGTTCCAAAGGTTGATTCGTAAGTCGTCGCTGCTGATGAATGTCTCGCCATCGCTGTTGACGGAAATGCTATTGATGTGGTAGGCGTGGGCGTTGGCATAGGTTCGACGGGGAACGGCCGCGACGACCGTGTCATGGTGCGTCAGGCGAGGCAGTTTGAGATCGGCGGCATTGCGAAAGTGTTGCGTCGTGGCAAGGGGTCGGGGGGCTCCGCCACCACCGGCAATGTTGGCGGGCGTGGCATCGTGAGAGAGGTTGTTCTCTGCCACAACCTTGAGCGACTTCTCGAACACCTTCCAGAGCTTGATGGTTTTGTCATTGGTGGACAAGAGGTAGTGGGAAGCATTTTGCCGACGGCACCACTTGATCTTATTGATCTTCTCCTCAATCTCAAGCGATTTGAGATAATCAAATTCTGGCTCGTGAGACTGGAACTCGGTGTGGAACTTGTACTCGCAAGACTTTTTCTGGACGTGAAGCTTTAGCGGGTATGGCTCACGCGTGGGCAGACAGCGGAACGGGGAGTGCAAACCGTCTCGTTACGCTCAAAGAGAACGACCCGGCCACCTTTATCGCCCGTAGCTAGATAATTTCCAGTGTGGTCAAACTCAACCGTGGAGATGATGTCGGCTGGGGAGGAGGCGACCAACGTCAGTGGGGACGGCGCGGGCGGGCAGCGAAAGCAGACAGCGATGAACGAACCTTCGGTGATATCCTCGACATCGCCCTTGTCGCCGAAGCACCTGTAGTGTGTGTCGTCAGTCGAGGCTGCAGCGGCCAGGCACGGGGCGACATCAAGAGGGGTTCCAAGACGTACTGGGTGAACTTCCACGTGGGTGAGTTCGCTTCGCTGTCGACCATCTTGGTTGGCAGCGATAGCGAAGGGGAGAGGGGGGAAACGAGGAAGAATACGCGGATAGGGCCGGCGGCCAGAGAACGCGTGACGAACAAGGACGGATAGCCTCGACGATGTCGCGGGCCAGGACGGTGGGAGGAGGCGGCGTGCCGGTAAAGAGACGCCACTCAGCCAGTCGGGCAGCGTAAAGGCAAGGCAGCAGGTCGGCCGTCGCGAGTCGAAGGTGAGAGGAGCAGGGAAGCGCAGCGGTGGGCACGGTCTGCCGATTCGTTGAGTGAGGCGGGCAGATGGTAATGCGGATGCGGATGCGGATGCGGTCGGTGGGGGGGGGGAGGTGAAGGGTGGATGATGTCGTTTGGCCCCCCGTGGTAGTGGGCCCGAGGGCAGCTCCCACAGCAGCTCCCAGGTTGGAGTCGCGGTTTAGGCTGTCTGGCTGGGCCTCTGGAGCTCGGTGGGGGCTGGGGCTTGGGCTGAGGCTGAGGCTGTCTGTTATGGCGGTACGGGTAGTGGCGAGGGTACGCGCCCGTTAAGGCCCATTATCCACCTCTCTGTATCGTCCATTATCTAAGATACCTGCACGCTACCTGGCGTGCGGACCGGAAGCCGACGCAGCGCAATGAACTCCTGCAAGGTCCAAGGGCCCCAAAAGTCGCGCCGTGTAGAGAGTGGTAGGTGCAGCCCGACCAACAGCGTGAATAATCTGGATGTGACTCCGGATCTGCGTCCTCCATCTCAGCATGGAGCACCTTTCCAGATGGCGTGACGAGCAATAGCGACATGAAAAGGCAAAGGTGAAATTCCGCTGGGCTGGCAGAAGTGAGTGTCGCAGTCACTTCGGGGCAGTGGGAACTCGATGCACGCAGTACTTCGTACCTGGTGCGGAGTGAGAAACGCCTACCGACTTCCGGGGCAGCGACTTGCTCGTTTACATGCAACCGATAGATACGTCGGGTCCACGGTGATCAGGGACTGACGAGGAGCGCAGGCCGGCCGACGTCGAAAGGGAAACGCGCGCTATAGAGGCTGTCACCCGCCTTCGGAAGAGAAAGCACTGCTCCGACGGCAACAACGAAATGGGGGATCCAGAAGACACCCAGGACGGTCAGCCCGCCGAACCGCATCCTGCCAGCACCGGCAATGGCGTGGACAAGGCCAAGGGAAAGGACCAGGCCAACAAGGCTTCAGTAGCGGAGCGCCTGCAGGCCTCAGGCAAAATGGCTTTCAACGCAGTGGCTGGAGCCAGCACTATACCCGACGCCGTGCCGGGACAAAAGGCACCGGCCGGGCCGAGCACCTCCAGCCGGCTGCCGACGATGCTCGGCGAGGCATCATCGTCGCAACTTACAGCGAGGGTGGGCGAGCCGCTGAGGTTGAATCAAAACGGACAGGGCTCGTCCGAGGCTTTTAATTCCTTCATCAACGAACAACCCCGCCAGGACACAATTTCATCCCTACGACATGGATCGCAGAACCACACCTCGTTCACAGAGCAAGAGGCAACCGACGGGGCGGCGGTAGTACGGCTATTATCCCTTCCGGACGATCCGGTGGATGAACTGCCCATAGAAGACGGCGACTGCCTGAGCCCAGACGAGGCGGCGAGGCTCCGGGAAGCCCTCTTCGGCGTCGGCAACGCAGACAGCTCCAAACCCCGCTGGGACGACATGCTCAGCTTGGTCCCTGATTCCATATCTCACCCAAGCGCGGCATCATCGGCGGCCGCGCGGCTCCACGTGGGCACTGCGGATCCCGTTGTCGCGCAAAGCATCTGGCTTCAACAGTGGAGCGATGTGTTGTCGTCGTACACTGACGAAGTCTGGGGGGACTTGGGGCCATTGGCTGCGGAGGCCAAGCATGATGTCGAACGGCAGATGCAGGGCAAACAGCCCGTAGGGTTGGAAAGCAGTGAGACGAAGGCGTTGAGGAGGCTTCGTCTAATCCTGGCTCACGTACACAGACGCATCTGAAGGACGTCCGACTCCTGCAAGAAAAGAACCATGCCTTTGCGCATCGCGCGTGTTTCTGGCCGTGGGTGCGAGGTGGTTGATGTCTATCCGCAAGCTTGACCTTGTCGCTCTTTCATCCTTCAAGTGGCCCGTTCTGCCCACGCCATGTGCGCATCGTACTATTTTGCTGGTAGGGCGGGCTGGCGGGCAGAACGGGCCTCGCATCTGGTCCTTGGCATGCTGGGATCAAGCCTTTGGGACAGGCTGGGCTGCATCTGTGGTTGCTCGGCCAACCACAGCAAGCCGAATGACATCATGCCCACCATCTGTGGCCCAGTCACGGGCTCTCACCGACTCACCGGCTCAACCTCTCACAGAGTCCCACCCATCCAAGGGCTTGCCACTCCATTTCGCTCTCGTCCTCGACCTTATAGCCATGCGGCCCCTCTTCCCCCCCCTCTGCAGATAATCAACCGCACTCTCGTACTGAACGGCAGGGGCAGCACCGTCACTCGAGACTGAGTCCGTCGCCAACGTCGCCGTTCCTCCCGTCACCCGCCATGGGCGGCTGGTGCGAGGTTTTCCGATTTCTCCTCGTCGCCGTCCTCGCCTGGGCTTGCACCGCATCGCAAGCCGCCGCACCAACAACCTACGTCCCCGCTGCCACGCCGGCGCTGGCCGCGAGGGCGCAATGCCCCGCAAACACGTTCCCGTGCCCGACTTCCTTGGGCGCCGCCTTCAATGACATATGCTGCCAGAACGGCCAGACTTGCGCCCTCGATGCCAACAACAGCCCAGCATGTTGTCCTGCAGGGTGCGTTTCCAAGCTGCCCCGGTCCACGTCCCGACCTGCCTTGCTCAGTCGATCTGCGCCTCTGCTGACATGCTTGCCCACAGGGCAGTTTGCACTGGAACCGCGCCAGCGACGCCCCTCGATTCCGTGCCCACCGCCGCAGTCTCTTACGTCCCGAATTCGTACTTTTCCTTTCCTTACGCAGCGACGACCTTTGCCAACAGCGCCTCGTGCGCTTCCGCTGTCGCCGCTTGCTCGAGTAACTACGGCGTCTGTGTCGCTGGCCTGCAGAGAAACGGCGGCTACGCCGTGACAATCAACGTGCCCGGCGGCGGAGGCACCACCGTGGGCGGCATGCAGGGAGACTTGGGTGCGTCGGCCACACCAATCTGCTCTAGCTTGAGCTCCCAGGCATGTTCCCGGCTCGGGGCGACCAAATGCGAATCCTTTGGCCAGAGATCCGGTGAGAGCGCGGCCCGCCTCCGTCTTTCGCCCATGCTGGCCCTCCTCGCAGGCGTTGGCGTGGTTTTCTTCACCACTTTTCCCGATGCTCGGCTTTGAGCCTGTCGTAGCACTGTTGGCGTGTTTTATATACACACACTCAACCCATGGGAGATACAGGCGAGCAGGACAAGGGTGCAACTCCACGAAAAGCTGCAGAGACACCACATGCCCACATTTGCGGAGCCGGCAAGGTCTCGGATATGGAAAACGACAGAAACAAGGCCACTATCGGCATCATCTAGTGGGCGGCGGATGGCGTCGAGGGCTTCAAACCGGCCGAGGATGATCAAAGACATAAGGCTGAGCAGGACCTGCGGTACGAGTCTGGGAACTACGATGGCCTGGAACTCGCAGTCGGACGTTGGCGTTTGCTGCCGATTTGGGGCCAATATCGGGACTGTGCTGTGTTGTCACCCTGGGCTTCGACGCGATATGAGCTCAGGGGCTCCATTCTCATGGGCAAGAGTCCTGCAGAAGCCACGAGCTTTGGACAATGAGTCCTATACGCATAATCACCTGGTGTCTGCTCTGGTTTGAAAGCAGTCAGACAACTTCGAGGTTGAAGACAAAAGAGACGCCGGTTTCGCAAGGTGAAAGAAACCCTTGGTTTTCTTCGATGCAACGATGGTCTGTCTAGACCACATGCACTTAGGCCCAATGCATCATGTGCTGCGATGCCCTCTTCCATGCATCACAAACAGTTTATGGTTGCCACGGCACACGTCAGGGCGCCCACAGAACGAGCTTGACTGGCTACTCCTGCTTTGCCTCGTACTGTCTAAGCAAATTTCAGGAGCCTTCCGAGATGATGCTGCACAAAACCGCCTTGACCGTTGACTCGGCTTGTCCGGGCCCCTCCGTGATTTCATCAAAATCTTCCTGCAGGAATCGTCTGGCCACACGTTCGGCGCATTGCAGCTGCCGTTCCTCCTCCATCGATAGTCTCGCACAAAAGGAGCTCAAATCCTCGTTGCAACTGAGCCGCAGCGATAATGCCTCTGCACGGCCCACGACGGCGCTGGGCACTCCGTTGAGCGCCGCACATCGACCACCGAAGCTCGATGAGCTGTGCCCCCTGACAAGTTTGAAGAGATACGTGATCTGATCCTCGGTCCGTTGGGCTGCCCAGTCGGTTCTCACGTCCATGTGACTTAGGAGAAGATTGTCGTGCATGTTCAAGTAGCGGCCTTCGAATATCTCGTGGAAGTGTGTCGCGACCAGAAGCCGCGGAGCCTGGGAGCCGAGGGACAGAAAATGGTGCAACACCGCGGCGAACAGACCGGCCCCGTCGTCCGGGTTAGTACCTTTGCCAAACTCGTCAATGAGTACCAGGCTCATCCGGGTTGAACACCGCATTGCCTGTGCAACCTGCCGGAGATCAATTGCGAACGCACTCTGGGTACGGCACATGCTCTCGCGTGTCGAGATTCGCGTCATGATCTTGTCTGCAATGCCAACAACGGCTCGACCAGCTGGGACAAAACTGCCAACGTGTGCCAGGTACACAATGATGGCAACCTGTTTGAGAAAAATGCTCTTCCCCGAATGGTTTGGGCCGGTCAGGACAAAGACGCTTGCCTGTTCGGATTCTCCAGGGCCAGAGGTGTCCCGATTCCCGCCGAGATCGCAATCGTTTGGCACAAAGCAAGGCACTACAAGTTCCATGAGAGGATGTCGGCCGTCTTCTATCTGTATCATGTTGGATCTCGTCATTCGCGGTGCCGTCCAGCTGTACTTTTCGGCTCCGAGGGCCAGCGCCAGCATGGCATCGAAGTCGCCGCAAGCATCTGACGCCAGGACGAGGTCCATTTCATACTTAAGAACAGTCGTGGCGAGGTGGTGAATGATCTCGACCTCCATGTCTACGTTGTGTTAGCTTGTCCAAAGCAGCCGTTGGGGGAGCCTACCTCCGATTTCGCAGTACATATCGCCGTACTGTTCGTCAAGCTCCCTCATGTGGCGGTTCTTGTAGCACACCGCGCCGTCTGCTTTGAACAGCTTTTCCCACCTCTCGGCGCCAGCCCCCTCGCCCTCATACTTGCCATTGCCTGTAGCAGGGTCGAGTTCAACAACCATGAGGAAGCCGACTTGAGGCAAGAAGATGCATGAGCGGATATACTGACTTGCCCACTCTGGCAGCTCTTGGTTCACATGATTGACGACTTGCGTCAAGAAGCTACCCATGCCGTCGTATTGCCTTTTGAGTTCATCGAGACGAGAATTAACCCCAGCCTTTACCGATGTGCGTCGGCGGGATTCGGACTGGTCGAAATCGACAGTCTTGTCAATCATGTCACCTACCGCAACCAAAGCTGACTGATGGATGCTCGAGGCTAGCTGCCACACCCTCAGCATCGAATTCGCGGACTTGACAAAGCGAGTCTGATACGTCTTGCATTACCTTTTGGATCGCACCAATTTCCTCTCTTCCACACATAGTGCCGACTAGTTCCCGGAGCTCCAACGTCTGCACCGCAAATCGCCTGATCGTAGCCCATACGCCCCTGTTGAACGACCGTTTGGTAGAGGGGTAACTGACTCCTTTGCGCAACTGAGAGACGGTCGCCCTCATGTTCTGGATCTTCTTTAGTATGGTCGATGCTTGTTTCGCCTTTTCGGCATTCTCCGGGCGTAGGAGCAGAGCTATCATGCGGTGTCTCTCCGTAATGGTTTCCATGTCCACAGTTGGGCGAAGCATCAGTTGTCGCAGGCATACCCGGCCTTGGGGGGTCGATGCTAAAGTCTGGAAGAGACCGTATATTGATAGGCTCTCCTTCCCACCAGCCTTGTCGGGGTCTGGCCCCCAAGTTTGGCTGTTGGGATGAAGCTCGGCGTGAACAATCTGCAACGACTGGAGTGTTTCCGCGTTGACAAAGACGTAATTCGCCAACGAGAACGTCTGGATCGAGATGACTTCAAGTGCGGCCGCTGCGCCCCCGTCATCGGGGAGGCAGCCCGTGGATCGTCTTCGATGGAGCTCTGCTAGAACCGCACCGGCGCAAGTGACCTGCACAGAATTAAATAGGCCAACGCTTTCCGGGCATTGAGAAGGGGGCTTACTGATGCTTGACTGTCGAGATTGACGAGGGACCCAAAACGCATCAGCCTGAAGTTTGCCGACTCATGCGGGTCAAAATTGTCTACAGCTTGTTCTTGCTCGCATGGCCGGAAGTCATCGCTGCCAATAGCCGCAGTGGAAAAGATGGCTGATGGGCCCAGCGATTCGTCAAGCTGCAAGTCCACAAGCCTGTCGTGGGCCGAAGATGGTGAGAAGTCAGAAGATGCCAGTGCACGAAGAATGAACCTTGGAGGACAATCGTCTACACCAAGTCAGTCGCGCAAAAATAGGCAGAGCTTGTAAGATTCTCACCGGGCCTGTTGTGGGGAACTGCCTGCTTTCCGAGGTAGTCCAAAAGATGCTCGGGGGCTCTCGCAGAGACGAGCAGCGTAGTTGGTTGGACGTGAGTGATGAAGTGCTCGGCAATGTTGGTGTCAGCCAAGGGAAGATCCTCCGAAAGGGAGAGGACTCCAGTGGATGTCGTGAAAAAGGCACATCCCATGGAGCCGCCGTCTCTCATATCAAGGGCCATGATGATCTCGTGCAGCAGACTGTCGTTACTTCCGTCATCGTGCTCGTCGTGGCCGCCAGGGGTGCCGAAACCGTGCCAATCATTGCCGTGGCTCTGGCTGCGAGAGAGCCCGTCACTAAGAAACGGAGCAGGTCGTCTCGATTGCGGCAAGAAACCGCGAAGTGAGCTGCTCTGTCGTCGGCTTCCCGTTGGCACTGGGAGGATGTCGGACCGGTGCGGACTGCTGGCGTCGCTGCTGAGCGAAACTCTCGAGCTGGGCGCCGAGCATCGACCTTTGCGCCCAGAAGCCGAGCTTGCGTTTGAGATGCGGAATCGTGTTCCACGAGCCATGGTGGGTGCTGGATGCTGCTGGTAGAGTTGAAGAATTGGCCCCGTGACGAAGCATGGGCTGCGATGCAACATGGTCGACACATTCACTACCAGGTGTATCTTGTCACACGAGCAGGGGAGTCATTTTCCTACGCACCTTCCCAGATACGCCGCGCTGCTTTTCTAGGCACTCCAGTCACACCGTTCCTGCCTACAGCAAGAAAATCATGTGAAATGGGGTAGGGCAAAGCGTCGCCGTACCGGAAAAGTCAGCTTGCTGAGGACGCTGCCTCGCATGAAGGGATATTCTCTCACTCGGTCAAGGGTAATGGCAAGTTCGAGTCCGAGCCATGATATCGTAACAATTTATATCCATGGCAGCGCAACTACCCACGTAAGATGTGTGCAAAGCGTCCCGGTGGATGTCAGGCGACTGCCCTTCTCTCGACGTCCTTCGTGAACTTGACGCCCCGAGGTCATGGTCGAATCGCTGCTGTAGCTGGCTGCGCTCATCCTTGGAGGATACGATGATCGGGCGCAATCGATGGCCGGGCAATTTGCGTTCGCCAGACACGAGGAAGCAAAGGTGTCTCTATCGCCGGCAGCGACATCAAGAGGGATCCACGCTTGGCTCCGATTGACAAGCACGAACCCTTGGTTCCAATGACGTGCCATTGCTCCAAGCAAAAGCCTCGGCCGGTGCGTATATACTCATTACTATTTGCCGCTGCCTCCATTCTTTACCCACTGGGCGAACTCGCGTTGTTGCTTGCGAATGTCCACGAACCCGGGCCGACTCTCCAAGGCGCCGAATGGACTTCCGCGATATTCCTTGTCGACCTCTCCAGAGCCATCGATAAAGCCGGCGTCGCCTTCTCGCTCGATTTTACCGGCCCATACGCGCCACTGAATGGGGCGTAGTGTCTGGGAGCCGAGTACCAGGCCCAGGCACATGATGAGTGTTGCTGCCACGGTCTCGATGCAGATGTCAATCGGGAGTGAAACTCCAGGCTGGCGCTGCTGGGAGGAAGTCATATGCTTTGCAAAGGTCGAGTATAGAACGGCGTGCTCCTGCGCCGAGTAGCAACTGGCGTCCAGAAGTCAGCAGCGGGCTCCTCGTCTCTCGGGAGGACAAGCACACTCACGCATGGGCCAGGAGAACAAGGCCCGCCACAGTCACGGACCGCGAGGTCCACGTCATTGTCTTTGAGCCTCGATCTTGTGCAGTCTGCTGTTGAACGAGGTACCAGGTAGCCAAGCTGGAGGAGGAGAATCGACGTGGAAATAGCTGAGGGCGGAGTGGATGGAGTTAGACGTACTGGGGCTTTGCTGCGCGCCCGGCGAATTAGATGGGCCGAGCCGGCTTGCTCTGCACCCTGGTATTAATAGGCGTTTATTCCACGGCTGCCTGGGTACTTCATTGCGTTGCCTAGTCTCTAACTACAGTCAGTACATTAGCATGGCGCACCCGCCTTGTTCAGCCTTTTGTTGTTTGCATACGTAAATGGCTGGCCTCGTGCCTTGCCCAATGCGTTGTTCTCCGCACACACTCCCGCTCACCAAAAGGCCTATTTACGGGATCATGTGGATGAAGCTTGCCAACGGACCGTGTCGACCGCATCTCCGCAGTCTTAAGCCTACTTGCACGCCCAACTCGTTGTTTCCATCAGCCAGATTCTCTGCGACAAGCTGTGGCAATTCTCGTTTGGAAATAGGCCGTCTACAGAAGAGCATGGTGCTGGGGATAGCCTCAAACCGCATCACCAGGGGAACACTTCAACAGTGGCATCGATGGTGTGGTATATATCCTGATCCTGCCGACAAGTACCCTACCTAGATATTTCTTGGTAAATTATATTCACCTCTTGCGAGATCGACTCTTGTACTCTTACACGCCGTGCCCAACGTACTGCACCCACTCCAACCCCCCTCCTCTCGCTCTTCGAAAACCAAAACCAAATCGAGCGCACAAGAAAAGATGAAGAAGGTCTAAGCGACAAGATGTACCCGGAAAAGGGAAGCGAAGAATGGGAGGAAAAAATAAAACTAAAAATAACCCCGGGGGGGATTTGATTAGAAATGAAAAAAAAAAACACATTTTGCTTCTTGTGGCGCTGCCGCCGCCTGATGCTGGTATATGGATGATCCTGCTGGGCCTGTCTATTAATCAACTCGTGTCCTTATGCCGGTGCCCGCTTTGCTCAAGAAGATGACGCCGATAAAGGAGAAGAAGAGAAAAAAAGGAACGAGGAAAAGGAAACCAGAATCGTCCAGACACTGGTCCGTTAGGTTCCTGCGCTATTATCTTCCTGCGCCATCCAGTCGCTGAAATGACTCGTGTCGTCGAGTGGCTCAACGTGCCAGTCTTCTTGCCCTCCCCTGAGGTATGCGTTGTGCGCGCCATTGACATCCAGGTCTGGCATCACGGCCATCATGCCGTCAGCCGTCTCTCTGTATGTCTGCCACACGTGGTGGCCTTGCAGCCCGTCTTCACGAGGAAGCAACTGGTGTGCCGCCTCTCCCATTCCCGGTAACAGCGACGGGTCGATGTAAAGGTTCGCGGAAGAGCTCGGAATCCCGCGCAGATGTGCGTTCATTGGCAGTTCGACCTGTGAATGCGGCTCAGACGCGCAGCTGCCGACCGGCGGCAACTCCTGGCTCCATCCGTGTCCAAGTTCAGGCATTGCAAACAACACTTGCTGACCAGGATAGTGTTGTCCATAGAGCGTAGCGAGAGGTTGCATGTTGCCGTATGCGTCCTCGCCGTACAGGCCTCGCTGTGCCATGATCGCTGCTTCGGAACGCAACCCAAAGTTGTATTGGCCCGTCCCGGCCATGTGAGGCGATGATGTCCCGAAGCGTTCTCCGACGCTAGACGCCGTGGCGGGCCTGATGCCGCTGCCCGCCGACTTGCTCCGCTCCGGCTTGCGGATGTCGTCGGTGTCCCGTTTCTTGCCTGTATTCGGGGTGTACTTGTAAGTTGGGAACGCCTGCCCGTGCCTGGTCTTCTCCGCCTGTGCTAGTTTCTTGAAGTTGCTCTTGACCTCGTCCGTCTCCATCTTCCACGAGTCGCCGCAGATTCGAGACACAAGCTGTTGGTTGTTCTTGTTCTCCTCGCCCAAAAGCTCCTTCTTCACATAGCCAATGACGTGCTTGCGGTATAGCAGGAATGCGTTCAGAGGCCTCTTGATTTTGCCCTCTTTCGACGCCTCATCCATTCGTACGTCATTTGGGCGGTGAACATGGTTGAAGACATCAGAGACTTCGACGTTGCCAGTCTGTTCCATGACCTCGCTTAGGGGCCGCTGCAGCGAGATGTGCTTCTTCAGCGACACCTGTTTTGTTCCGCTTTTTGCCGGCTTGCGCCTCTTCTCGACCCCGCCTGGCCTAACATGGTGGGAGTCGGCAGAGCGCAGTCTCCTCGAGATGTTCAACCCATTGCGAGTGGAGATGGCATCGTCCATGCCTGCCATCGCCAGCGGTGACATTTCTGGCGTATATGGCGGATAGGCCTGCGCAGCCCGTCAGCTCCACGTCACCTCTCTGGCCTCCGTTAGAACGACTTACGTAGCTTGCATAGCTTTCCTGCCCTGGGTCAGCGCTATAGACTCCGCAGGCCGACGCATCTGGCCTGGGATATCCGGTCTAGGCGGTTGGTCGTTAGTCCGTTGCCCTTCTCTGTGTAAGTGACTGGCTTACCGGAGGAGTGAGCTCCTGAGGGTTCGGGGTGTATGACGGCAAGCCCTCCGCTGGGAGGGTGGCGTGACACCTCGAGTAGTCCGATCCAATGGCCTGGTGGATTTCGCCAGGATCAACGTAGGGCTGGTGACGAGACATGCTCAACTCTGTGAACCGCTCCAACGAAGCCAGTCCGTCGAAAGAGGAGGCTGGGGAAAGCGGATGTCCCATGTCATCCGCGCGTTCTCTCCCAGTATTCCAAGACGCAGCTCTGGGCCCTGGACAGAGGGTGTGTGTAGGTGGTACGGAACTGTCCACGAGACAAATGAGGTCTTCGAGACCACGGGAAAAGAAGAAGGGGAAGTAGAAGAGATATACTTGTTCCACTGGAAGAGAGACCGAAGCCGGGGACTCGAGTTGTCTTTGATGGCGAAAACGACTTTCTGCACGGCGACTCGTCGGTTTAGTTTTCTTCTCAGCTGCTCTTTCGAAGGGACATCAAGGGGAGGGGCAGTCTTATGCGCTCGCCAGCTGGGTTTGGAGCAAAGACCTCTGAGACCTTTGCGCTGGCTATTTGTGTCTGTGGACATCTTCAGTTTCGGCCCTTGGCCTTTCACGATGCCGGGGTGCCTTGTGAGCACCACGCACCCGACTACAAGGCATAGCCATGCCGCATGCGGCTACAAAGAAGCTCCTATGCTGTGTTTCGCGTGGCAAACAGGCCGCCATGCGGCACGCAACCACGAGCATGGGCCTTTGCCCTTCCACAGGTGCCATCATGCGGCTCCGCGATGGCCCGCCTAGTTGCAGGGCAACAAGCGAACCTCGGAGCGCCTATATTCACGCAGCCTATCTGATCAAGGTTGCTGCGGTTGGGACGTTGGCACGCAAGCACAGGCCATGGAGCCCCCCGTGCGGCCACTCAAGGGGCCGGGGAGTGCAACAGGCCGCTCCACGTGCCCTGTCCTGACTCCTGTTGCCTTTGAGATCCCAAAATGGCATATCTTGACCTCTCGCGAGGTACCCACCGGCTCGCCCCGCAGACGCTATGATGCTTTGCCACGGCGGGTTTCCTTTCTCGACTACGGCCTGTCGCCGAGCGCATGGTTGGCATAGGCTGGCGAATGACGTGACAGAGCCAAAGAAAAGGGTAGGCTGGGCTGGTAGTCGAACGTGTCGCTCACACAAAGCTCCAAGTATAGCTGCCTTTCAGCAAGGCCACAAAAGACAAGGTGGTGGATGCCGTGGTCGTCACCGAGCTCTGCGGGGCCGCAGCTTCCAGGTTTTGCCCGCAAAATGCTTCATCCTGCCGAGCCTCCGCTGAGCAGTGCAGAGCCTCCCAACAGTCTCGAGCCGTTGACGATCTCCAAGTAGGTCGGTAGGTCGGTATCAACGTGCTCTAGAGGACTGTTAGCCCTGTGACAGGGATCACCGCTTCGAGAGGAGAGGAGAAGCGGTAGTATGAACGATGGCTGCATGAAGAACTGCGTATCCCTGGAAACAATGGCTCCCGGTGGGATTGCAGACTGTTCACCAGTCGGGCTGGTCATCATGATACCGCGATTCGTCGTCAGACACGCTTTTGCTTCGCTTCCGAAAGCACAAAGAAATTCAACAAGGCTTTCTCTCGTTGTCTGACCCCATACCGCTCGTTCGCTTCGTACGATTTCTTCTTCCGTGATTGTTCCTACCAAGAATCGCTGGCTTTGGCTTACGAGCTTTGTTTGCCGGTGGATGCGGACTGTGGGGGAAGGTTCTTCTTTTCTGTTTCGTCGCCATTGTCTCCGCCGGACGAGCCGCTGCACCCACCATTGCTTTACGTGACTACCTATCTAGTTATAGTGCTTTAGTAAAATTCGTTGAGACCACAACGTCTAGACTTCGGGAAGCCCTTGGGGCGGCATGTCAGGCCTATGCGGTTAACGTGGAGCAGCGCCCGCTATCACGCCATTCTCTCTCGCATGTTCTCCCACGGCAATCTGAGTTGCCGTCGGGGCCGGCAGCCAGGGCGGAGAGCCTGTCCGTGCTTTCTCCGAGCGAATGCTGTTGTCGCCGCCGCCGCCGAAACCATCCGCAGGGCTGGGAACTGCCGCTTCGTCATTCCGCACCACAATGGTGCGTGAGACGTCACACTCTTCATCTCCTCCTGCAGTCTTCACTGCTATAGAATCTCCGTCTTGTTGTCGTGACAAAGATGCAGATGCTGACCGGTCCCCGGACCTGTTGGTCAAGGACTGTGGAGGGGCAGTTGAGAATGGTTGGGCGTTTTGTTCACTCTCCAGGGCTGAGTATAAAGGCGTGTCCGCGGACAAAGAGGCTGCGCCCTTGGAGAGAGGCGCTTCCTTTCGTTGCTTTGAGGGGCCGTCACCAGCCATGGCCGGCGTCGTGCTTTGTCCCGCGTCAGACTGCTCGGTTGCCTGGGGGTCGACGGTCGAGCAGGTGATCGTGTCGAGCTTCAACTCGATGGACTCCTTCGAGGGTTTGCTTTCATTCCGGCGCCGGCAGGGCTCGCAAACGAAGTGGAACTCTTGGCGATCTGCCTCTTCTTCGCTGATGCCCAAACACTTGCTGTGTTGCCAGACATTGCACTTTTCGCATGCAACGCTGTGTGAACCGTCGTCGACTTGGCCGAATAACCCACAGGCGCAATCAAACACCCATTCTTCCTCCTCCTGCGAGAGTTCCTTGAGTGCTTGCCGGTTCCTCTCGATCTCTGCTTGACGACGCCGTTCTGAAATCCGTCCCGCGCTAGCCGATGCGGCTCTACTGTCTTCGGACAACTGCGCTAGCTCATCTTCGTGTTGCAGTCGGCGCGCCTCTCGCTCTTGCAAGCGGCGCTGACGAGAAAACGTCCTGAAATCTCGCTCCTGTTCCATCTTGAGACGCCCCTGCTCCTCACGGCGCTTCGACACTTCGGCTGCCCTTAGCTGCTCCTCCTCCACCTTAGCCTTGTCCTCTTGCTTTTGCCTCTCGACCTTGCCGGCGATGCGGCTGGACCTCTTGGCGCTGGCCATCTTGGCCAGGCTGAGCAGTTCCCGTTCTCTTTGAAGCTGCTTTTGCTTTTGTCTTTCTTCTTGCTTCTCGAGGATGGGGATGAGGTGGGTCTCCATCTGCCGTCGCAACATCTTTTCATTCTCGTCCCGTGTCTTGCCCAGGCTCATCACCAGCTCTTGCACTTCTTGCAGCGTTACTGCAACACATTCCCAAGCTCTTCCGCCCAGCCCATCGTCAGTAGACTCATTGTCGTTTTGTTCACCGGGCAAGCTGGTCGCCGGATCGTTCTTCGAGGGCGTGGGGCGTCGCCTCTTACTAGATCGTCGCCCAGACCGCATATATTTGCTCTTCGGCTTTGGCGGAGCTTGTGCAGGAGGGACTTCGGTCAGGCGATAGACTCGGTTATCGTCTAGAACGTAATAGGTGCGATCCTCTCGGTCCCAGCCATACGGCTCGATTCGCTAGAAGGAGTCATTAGCGTGACGATTGCCCAGTTAATCAACAGACATGCCTACCCAGCTTGTTTGCTCGACGTCTTTTTGCTCTTCCATTCTATCGCGAATCCGCTCGGGATGCACCATGGTCCATTGCGTCAGCTGTTGAAGCACTTTGATCTAGCCATGGGCAAAATTAGTCCAGAACTAGCAGAAGCCGAGGTTCGGCCAGGTGAATCACCTTTGCAATCAGATCCAAGTCGGCAAACTTGCGAGGTGCATCAGCGTCGCCGAGGGGGTTGCTTTTGCGTCCCCTCGTCAGGTACTGCTTGCGTAGTTGGTCATCGAATACATCATGGCTTGGGTATCATGGTCAGCTTGCCTCAGGAACGATTGAGAGGCGGCGGAAGCAGGACAGCCGTACGTGAGACCTCGATGTGATGAAACGAGCTTGAGAATGGCGAGTGCGAGGTCCGCCAAAAGGGTCGAGTCCGGCTTCAAGCACTCGGCCTCGATTTCCTTGAAACCAACATTAGCCCGCGGAAAGAGAACGGGAGCTGAGGAACGAGAGGAATAGAGGGTCTACCTCGATGTCGATGGATTCGTCAATCCTGGCCGACTTGCCGAAGATGTAGATCCACTGGCAAAAGTTTGCGAATTGCCACATGTTCCGGATGCGATTTAAGATGGTTGAACCTGCATCGCGACTGGTCGCGCTGGGACCATCATCTACGGCCTGGATGGGCCGTTTGCGTGAGGGCATGGCGAATGGTGCGACGACGACCAGAAGAAGTGGCGAAGACGACGAAGCCGTGGCGCGTTGTAGTAGGTATTCACGCGTGTTACGTTCGCTTCCCTGAGCTGGACATCGTGTCGAGGGAGAAGCTGCTTGCCTGGGCACAGCTCGCGTCCTTAGTAATCTGGCTTTAGCCCTTGGCATGCGCGTCTTCATGTAACGTAATCCACCAGGGGTCCGCCACCCCCCAAGGTCCGCCACGTAGCACGCGTCGCGTCTTTAGACATCAACAACACATATAGCCGGCCACAACTTTACTAATTAAAGCTATTCCCGTATTAAATTTCTATTATAGATTCCTCTACTTCTCGCCGTGAGATTAATATCAATAACGCCCCGAAGACGTGCAAAATAGTTCCTCAATCGCGGCCGCAAGCCGGAACAATATAGTACCTCGAACGATACTTCATAAACGGCTTTACGGCGCGTAGCCGATCCGGCACGTAATAGAAAGCGCTTAACGGCTATCTCTATCGTAAGAGCGAGAGCTAGTGCGTTAGATCCTAGTAGAAGAAGAAGCTGGCCGCCCGCCCTCGAGGTGTGAGCTTACGAGCTTTATATCGCTTATCGCATCTCTCGGTAGCGATAACCGACCTATTAGGCTAAACTAGGTCGACCGCTTCCTCTAACGTAACCTAGATATTAAAATAAAGCTCTTATAAGGCATTAAGGTTATACGGACCCTTAATTTATTAGAGGACCGGTTCTATGACTTTTAGGCCCGCCTTAACTACTAGATTAAGAGTAAGTCTATCGGATTAAGCCGAATTTATAATATAGACGAGACTAGCGTAGCTAAAGGGAAAACCTAGGTTAAAAAGGTTATTAGTAGTAGCTTAACAAAGTATTCTATAAGGTCTAAGGGTAGTACGGGTAAATAGGCTTCTATTTTAGAGTATATAAGTGCTTAAGGGTACCATATTAAGCCCTTAATTATCTTTACTAGCACGAACCTCTAAGGGTAGTAGTTTCCTTAGTAATTCCCCTCTTAGGCCTATAAATATAGTAAGTCCGGCTAGTTAAACGCGGAGATCGCCCTTAAATAGCTCGAGGCCGTATTTCTACTAAAAATAGCGCCCTTAATAGCCTTATTATAAATAATCTTAGTCCTTAATAGGGCTATATTATATATAGGCTTAAACTTTATATATATAGCCTTTAAATATCGCGTATAGCTCCTCTTCTTACCTTTATATTTATCGTATATTATATAGCTACTTAACGTCGGTATTTTTATACCTATAAAAGAGTTTTATCTTTAGTAGCTTACCGGGCTTATTAACTTTATAATTATAGCGCCTTATTAAAAACAATGCTTCCTCTAGGTATATAATATAGCCTCGTCGCTAGCCTTTACGAAGGAAAATATTTAGGCCGGCCTTAGGGCTACTAGTATCTATCCTACGAACGTTAATCGCGCCCTTAAATCTATCGTTAAGCTATAAGCTATAGACGAGGTCCTATATACGCTTAAGAAGCTTAAGACTAATAAAATCGATAAAAATAAGGAATAGTAGACTCCCCGGGATAGTAAGGAGGTTTAGGTATAGCTAGATCTTTTACGCCGGAATCTTACGAGCGTTAATTATAGCTTTAGGATAGTAGCTACTAAGGCCGGGCGAGCTATCGATTAAAAGAATAGTCTTATAGTAACCCTTAAAGCCGAAAATAACTATCTTAAAGCTAAAATCGAAGCTTTAAAGCCCGCTAGCTATAAGAGCGTTAAAATTAACCCTAATAACGCTTTTACCGTAGTTCTAGATATAAGTATTGCTATTTATATATATATATATCTCTATTTATATAAACGCCCTATTTTTAAGATACGTACTAACGCTAGCCCGCCCTACCTATTTATACCGCGCCTATATAGTAGGTAGCGGTACACTAAATGCCCGCGCTAAGCCACTTTATATATATATACTATATATATATATAAGATCCTACCTATATTCTATATATATATACTAAATTTAAAGCTATCGCCGCCGCTATAATAGACCCCCTTCTCTCCCTTCTTAATATACCTACGCTACCTTAAGGCGATAATAAATCTTACGATACTAATAAGGAACGTAAAGATACTATCCCGCCCTTACCGCCGTTTTTAAGCTTTAAAACCTACGATAAAGCGTATAACTTCGTCTATATAAGAGCGCTACTAAGAGGTATAGGCTAATAAAGTACTTAGGTATATAGTACTAATATATTAGTAGGGTATTAGTAGGGAATCGTGCCTACCCCGCTTATATATTATAGACCTCTCAAGCTTCCCTTTTTAGTTACTTAATAGAGATAGCTACTTAGAGAAGACTATATAACGCTCTTATAGCGCGACGTAGTAGTTAACTAGTCGAGGCCTCTTTATTATATATATTAGGTATCTACTTAGGAGATAAAGAACTAAAAGATATATCCTTAGAATAGACCTTTATTATAGACGATTTTATAACTATATCGAAGATATCGCTACTTATAGGTATAAGACTATCGACTTATAAAGAAAAGCTTATAGCCCTATAAGCGCGTATTAAGGAGCTAGAGGAGACGAAACGCTTATAAGACCGCGTTATATAATTAAAAGAGGAAATTACTAAACGTGCTAGCGCTATCGCTATCTATTTAAGAAAGCGTTAACGGTCTTACTCCCTTAAATTAAATAGTAGTCGTAGTAGCGAGGTTAAGATTAAAAACATTACTTAATTATCTTAACTTACTAATATATAAAAACGTCTAGACTAAACTTATAATCTAGAGGACGCCTTTAAGGCAGCGCCTAGACGCTTTTATCGTAATAAAATAAAGATCCTTTATATAGTAGATTATATATATAGCGACTATAAAGTAAGATAGTACTAATACCTTAAAAAATAGACGCTAATTAACTAAACTAAATATAGTATAAATTAGGTATACTTTAAGGAATAAATATTTATCCTAATTAAGGATATTATAAATAAGGAGATATTATTAGCGATATAATTAAAGGAGGCTTACTAATAAAAAGGCTAGTCCCTCTTAGAGTTTAGCTTATACTTTAACTCCTTAAAGAGGTATTTTAAATGCTTATCGGAAAAGGTATATACTCTTATATTTTTCGCTAAGCTAGAGCTATAACTTTAAGATTAAATTAACCTTTATTTAATACCTATTTATACCTATTAATAGGAAGAGCTTATATAAGTCGCTTAATAATATTAAGATACTACTATTAATAAGAAGTAACGTATTAATACTACTTTTACCCTTAAAGGAACTAAGAATAAAAGTAGTACTATACCTTAAGGCGGTATATATAAGGGAAGGAATTAAAGAGGCTAATAAGCTAGGCTAAATTATTAAGGAAATACTACTAATTCGATTAATAACTAGTAAGCTAGCGATATACTTACTAAGGGCTAAACTAAGGGACGTTATCGAGGAAGAAGATCTTTTACTTAATTAGGAATTATATATTTTTAATATAATAAGCTAAGATACCTATCTATAAAATATATTAATTCTCTAAAGGTAAAAACCCTAGTAAAGACTCTTAGACTTAATACCGTAAAATAAAGAAAAGGTAAGATATTAAGGTAAACGCCTCTCCTTTAGTAAACTTAATACTTATAAGATAGTTACTTAAAACTCCTATAACGATATTAAGGCGAAACCCTACTAAAGTCCCTATATACCTAGATACTTATAGTACTATTAACTTTATAAACGTATACTTTACTTAATAGTAAGGATTACTATAAGTAGCGCTATTATACCTTAAGTTATTAAGGCTTAGTAATAGTAAGGTAAAGGAGTATAAAGTATAGTTAGTACTACTTTAAATAATAAATATAAGAGGCACTAAAAAGATAATTACTTATTTCTATATTAATATTAATAAGTTAACGCTAAACGATTAAGTATTAATCCTTTTATTAGTTACTACCTTAGAGGATAAATATATCTATATTATCCTATAAAAATAATAATAGTAGTTTAAGTATTAACTAAGTAGCGAAACCTTATAGAATCCCTATAGATTCCTTTAAGAATATAAGAATAAGGTAAGGGTATATATAACAGCGCTTAATCTTAAGCTAATCCCGCTACTAGATAAAGATAAGGATAAAGGGATTTTATAAGAAGAATAGGCCGAAATCCTATTAACTCTTTACTAGTTTAAAGATACTTTCTTAGCTAATAAATCTAATTTATTACTAGCTAAAAAGGGAATAAATTACTTAATTAATTTAATCCTTAATATAAAACCTCCTTATAAACTAATTTACCCTTTATTATAAAAGAAACTCTAAGTATTACGCGATTAGATCTAAGATATAATAAAAAGGAAAATAATATAAGAGTTAAAGAGCTTAGCTAAGGCGCTTATCCTTTTTATTCTAAAAAAGGATAGTACTTTATAGCTATATATAGACTACTAAGGACTTAACTAGGTTATATAAAAGAATTAATACCTTTTACCCCTTATTTTAGAGATTATTAACTACTATTAAGGAGCTAAGTATTTTTCTAAGATTAATATATATTAATATATTAATATATTTAAATTTAAGAAGGAGATAAATAAAAGACTACTTTTTAAACGCGTTATAAATATTTTAAATACTTAGTAATACCCTTTAGACTTATTAATATACTAGCTACGTTTTAGAGCTATATCTATTAAGCGCTTAAAAGGCTTATAAATATAATCTATATAGTCTACCTCGACGATATCTTTATATACTCTAAGATAAGAAAAGAATATACTAAATACTTAAGATAAGTAATAGAAAGGCTAAGGGCTATAGAGCTTTATATAATACTATCGAAGTATATCTTTTATTAATAGTTAGTTAAGTTCCTTAAGTTTATATTATCTATTAATAAGGTATTAATAGACCTTCGATAGGTAGAGGTAATAGCTTAATAGCCTAAACCTATAACCTACTATAATATTTAGGTTTTCCTTAAGTTCTATAATTTTT